ATTAACGTCCCTTTCTAGGTAAAAAATTCTTTTAACATTGAATTTGATAGCTCTACTCGGGAAATCTGACAGATATTCCATTAATGCTTCACATGCAAGTTTCTAGAAACTCATAATTCTTTTTTTTTTTTTTTAATAAAAACTATATTGTGATTCAAAAGTTAGCGTAAGACTTTTGAGAGTAGCGCGTTAATATATCAGTAATAAAAGTAATTTCATTATTACTCCAGTATTGTTGTGTATATAATAGCACACTCAGTATTTTCAATGTCAATATTACGATTTCATATTTTAAAGATGTATGAAAAGCATGTATAGCTTACCTCTAAGTCCGTGATATTAACTAATACTGACTACTTACAGTGTCTAGTCTAATGTCTAGTTTCAGGGAAGTTAATTAACTGCATGGTATTTTGCAAGTAAGCTTAGTAGCCATAATTACTCTTAGCTGTTTTATACCGCCAAACATTTTATGTTGAATTGTACCTTTTCCTATGATATCTAAATAAACCTTAACTTTCTGTCCAACAGAACTTCTCATGTTATTTATAATGCAACAAAATAATTAAAATAAATTACTACATCGTCGCATTTTTAAATTCTCAAGACGTTTGTAACATAAAAACGTTAATTTACCTACCAATCCAAGGCGTAAAATAAATTTTTAATATACTAATCTTTTTCAGATCCTCGTGAAATTATGCTCTTAGAATAGGATATAATTTTTCCATCTTTCAAATGAGCTTGCTAAATTAATAATACGGAGTTTAAAACTTCTTATCTCATCTGGTACAGAATCTTAAATTGGAAAATAATTTAATTTTTATATTAATGTAAAACCTCCTTTAATATTGTATCAAACTACTGTACCATCGGAATCTAAAAATTTTATACGTTTACTACAAGAAAGAGACGAAAACAAATTAGCACAGTAATTTAAATGAGTAACATTCCCTGAGGAATTAGCAGAACAGAAAATAGCGAAATGCATACTAAGATGGAAATAAGATCGATATTGATGCTGAAAGAGAAAAACTAGGAAACGGCGTACAAACGAAGCCTGAATAACATTACTGTAGGAAAAAAATAAAAAGATCATATTTATAAAAAAGAGTATTTCTGAAATGTTCTCCTAATAGACGGGAAAATGAAAATTATAAAAAACATTTAGAATGCCCGCTTTCTTTGTGAAAGTAATGTAATATTTTAAAAGATATGCACACTTTTGCGCCCGATCATATCATATACCCACTTATATTATTCTATGCATCATAATACACATCAAAAGGAAATTTCAATGTTTTTGAGGCAGGGAAGAGTTAGTAAAAATTATAATAACTGAAATTTTAATTATACGCACATATAACACATGTTTAAAGTACAAAACCAGTTATGCATGTGAAAGTAAATCCTAAGAAACTTTTTTTTATTCATCCGCCGCTGAATTTTAAGATGACACTTATGTGGCCGTTAATCCTTCCATAGGATAAAATTTAACTTATTATTTTAATGTTTGTTAGTTGTACAGCTTCGATTAATAGGATAATTTATTATTAAAATTCCTCATTCGAAACAAATGGTAAGGAATAAAAGAATACAAATCTGAAATCTTCAAGTTTAGCCTAATATTTCATATAGTTTACCACCAAATGTTTAACAATTGAAAACAATTAAACTATTTTAATATTGGAAACTATAAAAATTTTAAGTGTGAAAACCATAAAATCTCATCTTGGTATGCAGACTTCCACATAACACTTTAAACAATTTTTAAGCTAAGTAATTATTATAGGAGAAATATTGATATGATATTAGTTCAACATAAATTAATACTATTTGGATACTTGTGCTTTATTTAGCTCGCGTACTAATACAGGAACAAAATATTCACGACATACCTGAGACGGTTTTACTACTGAATGCTTACACAAGAGATAAATATATGTAAGATATAACAAAATACGATAGCTGCTTTAAAAATAATTGACGATCACAAAATTAATATTCTAGATGCTTTGGAATGAAGATGTCTGGAAGTAGCTTACATATAAAAGGAGAAACATCGTCTTTTACTTTTAAATTGATTCTTCTTTCAAAATAACACATTCATTTCAAATATCATAAAAATTACTTTCAAAATATCTATGGTATCGCAAACACGAAAAAAAAGTTAATTTTTGTTTTTGAGTTTGCGATACAACAAATTTGCGATTTAGCATTCGCGATGCTTTATTTTTGTGATCGCAAACACAAAATTAAAATTCCAAAAGACAAAACTTACTTCAAATATCATAAAATCTCTTTCAAAACATCTATAATATTGCAAACACATATTCTTCAATCCACAGGATTGAAGGATATATGTTTGCCCTCTGAAGGGAAATATTCCTACTCCATAATACAAAAACGATATAAATGCAGGTTATTTAAATTTCAAAGCAATATTAATTGTAGAAAATGGTAAGACCGTCAATCATTAATACTACAAGCAAAGATGACTCTAAACGAATGCCCACCTCAAAAAAATATACCTTCTGTTTCTAATGCTACTAAAGTTAAATCATCGGTAACAAGAGAAAAGCCCCAACGCAGAAAGCAACTGGAAGTTCTCTACATAGTAGAGAGTACATTTGCAGTAACAAAAATAAAATAATAAACTAAGATTTAAAACTTTAAAAAAAGTTAAAAAAACATAATGTTCATCATCTTTTGCCGAGGCATGTGGCTCAACGCAGAATAATTTGTAGAATCTTGTTCGAAAAGTATTTAGCAGGAGATAAAATGAAATGACTGTGATTTTTTATGAAGCATGGATTTACCTAAATGAATACAACCAAAAAAGGCCTATTTATTATTGAAAACGAAGACAAAAATTGTATAAACCAGATTCCGTTAATGCAGATGAAGTTTCAGTAAGAGATTTATTATTCTCGCAGAAATCTTTTAAAGAGTGAAATTGAAAAACAAAAGAATTTGGGGAAAATGCTCAAATTAACTCAACGTACTAGCAAAAGCAAGTTTACTTCGGATATTTACAAAATCAATTCCATCTCTTTATCCCAATCACTTTGAGAAAGCGGAACTTCATCAAGACAAAGCAACAATTCATAAGCACCTCTATATTCCTTGAAAACTGGTGCAGGTATTGCCTATATACATTTTCAACGTATTGCTCCAAAATTTTCTGACGGTTTACCTATGGGTCTCTTGAAATGAATTCTTCCTAAGCATAAACCCACCACGATTGATAGATCCTGGAATAAAGCGGAAAAAGAATAGAAATCTTTTATGTCATTTTAGAGACGATTAATTATATGTGTAATATATAATTTCTTATTTATTTAAATTTTTATTTAGAAGAAGTGGTTTACAAATATTTACATTAATTTGTAAAGCTAATAATAATTTAATTATCGCTTGGAACTTAAATAATATGATTTCAAATCTAAGGTACGATACGTTTTCTTGTTTGTAGAAACTGAATGTGTGGTACTTATCTAATAATTATAGAACCTTCGTGAGCAATAAGTTGATTGCTTTTTATGGTAAAGTAAAATTCTCTTTGACGTAAACTCGTGACCACGAACTGAGACCTTTTGCCGCTTTGGGGCATAACGGCGGATAATAACCTACGTTTTTTCCATGAAGAGAGAGGTCAAAGTGAACAAACAGTACTGTCATGTAGCAGCGACTGGGGGGGAACGTTAAACACCTGAAGCGTTTGAGAGCAAAGTCTCCAATCGACGCAGCGCCATTTCAAAGCACCGGAAAAAGAAGGTAGGCAAAGCAACTGCAGCGGACAGAGAAAATCAAAGGATGGGAGTTGAATCCCTGCCAAAATTCCCCATTTCTGTGAGTGGCATTCAACAAGGATTGCATTGTTTTCAGCTATCAGTGAAGTTCGAATATACTAACAGCAAACGGCCAAGTAGTGGTGGAAGGAGAAAACCAAGAAGTGTGGCTGAACCCCTTTCGAGACACCCTTGTTTAAAAAAATTGCAATAGAGCAGACAAGTCTAAGGTCGCGGCAACATGGAAGACTAAAAACATACCAAAAGCGCCAGTTTCGACAAGCATCCTTCATCGAGAATTGCGTAGGAGAAGCAGAGGCTCCACCAAGAGGTTCGCTCTAGCAGTATCAGCTGGAGACAACCAACTTCTATATGAGCGAAAGACGAAAAATTCCTGACTGAACAGACCCTGGGAAAATCCTCTCTGACATCTTTTAACATGGGAATAGCATCAACGTTCTCTGTGTTCAGTATAGTGAATTGTGTTGTAATCCTTCTCAACAGGACTTCCTATGTTCATGAACTTTTTTGTATGGGACCCCATCTTTGTTACAATATTAGCATACTATTAAAGCATACTACTATGCACATTTTTTACGCATAAATGAATACTTCTGCTTTTTTATTTGACATTTAACCTTAGAAACTTTATTTACTTGAAAGGTTACCTTTTCTATCCAATGCATTTATTGTTGATCCTTCTACACTTGTATCTCCCCTTTGTTCTGAAGGAAACAAACTGTATTAGATAGTTTAGAAATGGATAGAGGTCTGTTGAAAATATGCCAATCTAAAATTGCTGCTTGTCTATCTGTTTCTTTTTAAAAAGAGTACATAATTTTCCTTTTCTTACATTTTAGCCAAATTTCCCCATTTGTTCACACACATAGCATGAAGTGTATTTATTTATTCTTGAACATTTGTGAAGCAATTGTTATTCCTTTTGGTAGAAATAGCTCAAAAAATTCAAATTAGGATATATATCAACTACCAAAAAATAAATAAAACATAAAAGTAAACTTATATGTATGTATAAGAAATTAATTGCATTGCAATTTACGTATCTCAAGTAATGGTGATTTACGAAACTCACGAAACGTCTACGCATGCATTAATCAATTCAGTCTGAGTACATTTCACCATCTCAGACATATATATATATAAGGCACAGAAGTGAATGACATCCATGGAGTCACAACACGTACTTACGATAAACTTTGAGTGTGAAATGGGTTGTTGTTTCTTTCCCGTCGACTATTGCCGAGCAGGTGTAAGTACCTTGGTCCTTGTATCGAACCTCTTCTACTACTAGCTCTAATCCTAACGGACAGTGAGGTGCGGCTTCCACGTGCACTCTAAAAGAAAACAAAAATAAAAAAATGCACTACTTTGGAATTTACTGTTAAAACATTTTCTGAATACAATTTCAAGCCACATATCGAAAATGTCTCCCTCAGTGTTTGTATTTTCAGTGTTAGTAAAAGAGCAAGACGAAAGATGTAAAATAAAATCCTCGAGCATTCTCGTTATTTGGTAGCGCAGAGAGTAAAGCAGTACTTCATATATATAGAAGGCGGAAAATATTTTGAAATACTCGTATACAATATATTTATTGGCTCAGCTGGGTCAGATTTTTGAGTTTTATGGAAGGAAAAAGAAAAGGCGTTTTCTTCTGGGGTTTTTATTTATGGTAAGGAATATCTGGGCTTAAATTTAGAAGAAATATTTGCCACAAGGAAAGAAATTCTGCTGCTGTACTTTCTCTATACATCTGAATGTTATATTTTAGATGATATACAATGATTTTAGAAAACGCTTTTAAAATCTTTCATAGATTGATAATACCAAATTTCTATACTCATATTCCGAAGAAAGGTTGTTTAGGAGCTTTTATTATTGCTTGAAGAATTATATATTTTTTAATTTTATCAACATTCTGAATAATTTAAAAACCACTTTACTTTGTAAGATAAGAGCTGAACACAATTTTTTATTATCAAAATGCTAAAAACCACCTCAGTACTTATTATATTGCTTAAAGTAAATAAAAGAATGCTCAATATGTTCTAGAAAACATAATTCTCGAAAGTGAGGTTAAAAAGCTTTGAGAGCGATGATAACCTTCATATCTCTGTGCACAGATCTGAAAGTTACTTCAGACCGGCGCTAGCTTTTCGCTATCCAAAGTAGCTCGAGCATTGTATAAAATTTGAGGCAAAAGCTTGCTAGGAATTTCTTTATGAAATTCTGGAGTTAATTACATTTGACTTTAATTTGCTTTTGATGTTAGGGTAAATCCCGAGAGTAGCAAGCTTGAACTATAAGCAAAAATTGTGAGAATTGTTGAATTTGGAGTTTTAATAAAAGTTTCTCGTGAATAAAGTCTTGCATATAGTCTTACCTGTATCAAATACCCTCACGTAATAAGAATTGGGCATTCCAATATATTAGCAAAACTAAATTCCATATGTTTATCTACTTACATAAAAAGCAAAAAATTCCAGTACAACGATCTCCAAAATAGCAACTCTATTGCATTTACGTAATCTAATATTGTAATGAGTATATTCAACTGTTTGTGTTATATTATGTAACTTTGCTTATTTTTATGTTATTATACTCTTATGTTTAAATTAACGAATCCGATTTATAATTCCAGTGTTCCTTAGGAGAAAACGCATACAGTCAATTCCAGTTTTTCATACTCTAGCTTTTTGGTTTATTGGGCCAATACCTGTTCGATTCTGTAGTGAAATCTCTGGTGTCCCATGGTCCTTTGCTCGTTTGCCTTGTATAGATTGCTTTACTTAGACAGAGCAATAATTCAACGGATAGTCGCATAAAAATCCAGTGTTTTAGTTTAGCAAATTGTGTTTCCGGATACTCTTCTGGAAGGCTTAATTATAATCATCGATATGCTAGATCATATGATAATATAAATGGTGCATGTTTTTCCCTGCACAATTATAATAACAACGAAATCTTTTGCCGTCGAAACGTAATTGATTAATATATTTTATACTATACATCTGGAAACTAAACACGGACTTCATGGGAATGCTAACATTTTAAATTAATTTTCTAAACTGGCTTTGTTTTAGGTGGACATATTAAAATATTGGCCATTAATTAAATTATCATTTATAATTGTAGGATTAGACATAAATATGCAATTCATCTATTATTATGTTTAATTTTTTTTGTCTAACATTTTAATGAATTAATTTATCATATCGCTTCTAGTTTTTATAAAAGGTTTACCTTAAAAATCAAGACAAATATAGAAAATATTTTGTAAACCATTTGTTGTCTTCTTGATCATATATGATCACGCATGTAAACAAAAAATTACGGACTTTTATATTTTTGTTCATAGTGCAATTCATTCATGCTCCACGCGTTCTTCTTCTGCAAACGAAATTCTGCAAATCTGAATGAATTGCTGTTCCTTGTAGTTATCTATCTACCATCATCTGTATATTATATACAAGCAACCTTCTAGAGCTTCCATTTTTTCCTACTTTAAGTCTTCTAATGTAGGGTTGTGAAAGATGTAATATATAACTTTCATGCATAGTGCATTTATAAAATTCCTTGATAATGCATCCTTCATATGAAAGAAAAAAAAACTCACAAATTTTTTTAAATTAAAAAAAAAAGAAATACGTTCTATAAATCAGATAGGAGGAAATAAAAGTGTTCAGTATAATCTCATTGTTTAGATATGAACTCTAACCTTCGTTTTTTGGCGGCTAAAGTTTTTGCTCACTGTAATTCGTCTCTCAGTTTAAATTTCTTTGAAGCTTTAGGAATTTCCATGCATAACCATGTTAATGACATTAATGACTCACCATTCATATCCTTCTAGTCGAAGCCAAAGCGAAACCTGTTTTCTAGCCCACTTCTTTTCTTTTGACAAAACGTTAAAACTCTAGCTTGAATTATTACTTTTTCTACGACGTTCATTGAAACAAATGATGATTTGTTTATATCGGAGTCAGCTTATTTCTTTCACTGAACTTCTTCATTTGTTTACTTAACTTTAGCTTAAATTTTCAGCGAATAAACGTGTGAAATACTAATTATTGATATGCCGTGTATATTGCTATAGCTGAAGATATATTTATAAAAATAGTTGTATATTTCAAAACGTTTTATAAAACGATTGATATTTAAAAGAAGACCCTAACTGAAATATAAAAAAATATGAACTTCTTAAACAAAATATCACAAATGAATTGCAGCAGACACCAGATCAACCGAGTTAATGTTGAAAACGACGTACACGGTTAAATGCAGTATCATAGTTGACATATCACAGGATTAAAGCTTGAATTATTGTTTGCCATATTCAAATGAATTTGTTAAAAAATAGTAATATTAACAAATTAGCACTATTAGCACTTTGTAGACCTGCTGCGAATAACATAAAATTGGAGACCTGAAATCTAATTATATGCTTATCTATGAAAGCAGATTATATGTATTAAATATTCCTTCGGGCGGTTTGCTTATTCCAGTTAGGCTGTTTTTTATATGCCAGTTTGCTTATTTAATTATTAATTTATTATTTTGACAGATTTTACTTCGTCTTTGTTGAGAAATTTACATAATCCCTTGCGGTTGCTCAGAGCTGAAGAGACGAAAATTTTAACGTTATAATAATCCCGCGGTAAAAGTCAAGAAATGTGTGAAAATTATTATGTACTCCCGATGTGCCTATCCGGGGGTCCGTAATGTATGAACAGCGCGTTTTCAGACATGATTTGAAACTGATGGCTTGTTGTACATTATTCTTTTATTATTCGTTTCATTTTTGTATTTTTGAAATACTACTCGTAAATACCTCTCGCTTCTAAAATGACTTTTGATGAATATTATAGTCGATGATTTTTATTTACAATGGCTCTAAAGTACTCTCAAACCATCCAGTGAACGGTAAGAAACAATGGACTCACTTCTTATTGTCCCTCTTCTGTCATCTCGTAGATGGACGTTCAGCTCCGGACATAATTACAGCATGTATTCTCAATGACCTTTTTATGGCAATGCCGAATATGTTGCTATGCGCGCGATATTCCTAGTTAAATATCCAATTTCGTGTTTTATACACAGCCATTTGGAATTCTTAAGTGATCTCTACAGGAATGAAAAGCAACATGAACATTAACATCTTCCTCTATGAAATCTGAAAGTGCCCAGCAGCACCTAGATGCTTAATATACAGTCATACTTTCTATAACGAGAAGCGTTTATTTCGAAGCGCTCTGAAATATTTTATTCATTTCGATTGATTCCGAAATTCTTGTATGATTCCTTAATTTCCATTAGTTACACTTGTGAATGTTTGTTCTTTGTTTCTCTATACGAGCATAGAGGGCTAATGAAAATTTACCTAGTATTAGATATGACTAGCTTCCGTTTCTCGATGTTATTTTTTTAGAGTTTATTTTCACTGGAGAAATTAAAATTAAGTATGAAATGTTCCGAACCTGCCTCTGGTGTGCGTTATGTCTTTTCCTGTTGGCGCCTCCCAGGTTAATCTGGTCGCACCGCTTGTCTCGTCTGCTATGCATGTAACGAAAAAACTGTCTCCAGTAAAATATGCATGAAATTCATCAGGTGGTTCCAGTCTCAAGTGTCCCGTTAGAACACCTGCAATGAAAATTAATTCCACATTATAAAATATTCATAATTCAACAAACAAAAATTCCAAGCGGCATATATTTTCCAACATACTTTTGAATACCTAAATAACATGATTAGCACATTTGATACAGCTCATCTAGAATGTTCAGCTTTTAATTATGGTTTATATGTGCTGATTTCTTTCATGTATGATTATGCTTTGTATTGCTGCATAACAGGTCAGGTTTTTATTGTTATTACTTTTATTTCTAATTCAACTGCAGCATAATCTTTAGCAAATGAATTTCTAAAACGAGGAGGCTCAGATACCAGTTACCAAGAAGTTTAATTTTAAATGAGATAATGAAAGCATTTTAGATAAAAAACTAGAATACCCCTACACCTTGAAAACTTCATAGTAATCCTATTTTAGAAGTAATTTCGTAGATATAAACGTTAGGGAAATTTATCTTCAGCTAAGGAATCATAATGCATCTAAATAAATATATACAGTCGCTGTGAATAATCAAGCTTTATAAATTTTTAAGCACCGGCTCAATTTTTATCCGGGTTTTTAAAATTATTTTTATCAGCAATGCTCTACGCAGCATTGATGATAAAAATAATGAATGAGGAAGAATGTATTGTTGAACTATTTTCTAAGGAAACAGGTCCCTATACTTTAAATTACACATTAAGAAAAACGCAAATACATGCATAACACTATCCTATTTGAGTGGACGGAAATAAAAGTCCAAAACATACATGGGTAAAATCAGAAATAATATTATATACAAGAAATTATGCCAAGAAAACGTAAGTAATATAGAAGAATAAAATAGCTCATTTAAAGATGTTTCTTTTAGTTTGTTTAAAATATAAACTTATATTTTTACTACAAATATACATCATATGACATTACAAATATCCAAAATTGTGACCATTTTCTTTTCCTAAAAATTGTTCCATGGTATAAATCCTAAAAATTGTTAATACAGTAACTTGATGTAATAAAATAAATCATTTCACAACGAAATTGGATAAATAGAATTCGAATAGTTTACAACTTATACATTTTTCTATTCAGACTCGATAATATCAGCAACATGTGTGCTACTTAAAATCTAATTATGATACTTTTTTGTTTTATAAGAAAGGAAAGTAAAATACGTTTTTATTGAACTGAGATTTAGTGCAAGATCAGTACTAGAATTGGAATTTCTACTTGATTATGCCGAGTTTTAAAGGCAATAACATTAATACATGGTGAAGGAGGGATAATCAATTTTCTTGCAACTTTTGAAACATTTTACCTATGTTTCCTTTTTCAAATGTTTCTATTAATTGCTTGATAATATTTTATTTAATGGCTAACTCGGAACTAAATTGTTATTATATTTTGATACTAGAGCCAGATACTTTGTTGTTTCAAACATTATCAGCAAGCAAGCTGAGTGAAAATCCAATATCTGACTGACCACAGAGCAAAACGTTTTTCTCTAAAAGCTGTTTACATGTCGCCGCATCAGTATGATACTTTATACTTACTAAGAGCCATTTTCATTGCCAGAAATACACTTCGAAATCCCCAGCGTCCTTCCCGTGCTTCAAACGGTTCGTTTGGTATTTTGGATTAAATTCTGAATCTTCATGCGTCCGACATAAAGGATGATATCACTCCCAAACAGATTGAAATTGAATTCATCTTTCACGTTACCTGATATGTCCATTTCATATGTCCTTTGATTCATTCTATTCTTTGCCTCCTATTCTGAGCATATATCACGCTTGACAATGCTATAAATTCCAGAACCATAAGTATGACCCTTCATGATGGACACAGAAATTTTAACACCATTTTCGATCTCCAGCTAACAATGATTATCGAGGATATAGATGGATTTGGTAACATATGGATTTATCTATTTGCATCAATATTCTACAACACTAGCAATCACTGTAACCATATGTAAAGCTTAGTCGCCATTTCTTGTAGTACTTCATACGGTGATATAACGCATAAAACTGCCATTGATTCTATGCTGAATATGTAAAAATTTATTTAAGTCTTGCTCGTTACATATCCATAATAGTATATTTTATGCTGATTGAAAACAAAGTGTGTCCAAACATTGGAAAAATCGTGTAAACGACATAAAAACCAAGCATTTATGTGTAGTAATGAATTCATTATGGAAAACAAAAGTAATATTAAGAAGAAATGTATGTTACACAAAACTCGAGCTTCAAAACTTAATAACTTTTAAACTTATTAACATTTTACTGCAAGTTGTATAGAATAACTTAATTATTCTATACAACTTGCAGTAAAATGTTAATAAATAAAAAAAGGAATAGTACTATTATTGATGCTCCAGTTTCTTCATCATATATTGTGATCACATTTTCATTGCATGCAATTATATTAAAAAATAAAGTTTGTCAAAATTAAGAAAATTAGCATTTAATACCTCTTATACACATGCATTTGTAGTTAGGGAAACTTTATACTCTTTACAAAAAGCAAAATGCAAAACGTTTGGCTTCGAAGAGACACAGTGTGACAGAAATACTTCATTTTAAAGTTGGAGATCTTATTCAAAGGCATGGAAACAGCAAATGTTTGCATCTGGATAAATTTAAATATCAATTTAGGGGAAAAGATTTTGTTGTTAACTGATAGCATTTGCTATGCCGTCAGTCGAGAAAAGCATTAATAAATACAATTTCTGTTTTTTAAGGGAAATTTTATTCACAAACGTTTACAGAATTTGTGCTCTAGAAAACACTTTCAGGTTCCAGTATCACTACATTGCTAGCTTGTGACATTATTTTCAGAAATGAAATATAACAAAAGAGAATATATTATAACAATAACTATAATAAAACTAATTTCAGAAATTAATATAACAAACTTCTAGTTTAATGAATTTTTAGATGATTACCAGTTCATGATTCTAAAGTAATAAATCTTTATGAAAGCATTAAAAATGTATTTTTAGCTTTTGAAATCTAAATTACTTGCTTTAAATTTCTTTCAGCATCTCAATTGTAATAAGATTCTAAACAAAAGAACGTTACGCACCAGTAAATGACAAAAAAAAATGTTATCGAATGGCATTTAAGGGGAAAAATAAAACTCGAATTTTCTAATTTCTTTATAGCCCATTAAAACACAACTGTGGGTTTTCGGTTTTAGTCGATTTTTTTATTCTATATAGTCTTGATTTCTTTAACTCTTTTGCATATTCTAATTAAAACTTCATTGTTTCTGGGCAAACAAAAATACTTCTTCCATATTAAAAAATTTTATAAAAGATTGTATCGGTACATTTTTTGCAAATAATTTTCTTTCTCATAGAAAGTAATTATTTGCATTTTCACGAGTAGATCTCGTAGAAAGTAAGCCAATAAAATAATTTTATGAAGAAGCGTAAATCTTCCAGAAACATTAGACTGCATAATGGCTTCAGAAGGTAAGGTTATTATTTTATCTTAGTGTTATTAATATGCATTTTTTAGAATATTGCGGTAACGCAAATCAGTTCAAGCAGCGTTTTTACAAATAACACAGATTTTCACAGATAGAAGCGTGTTCTTTCATAGATTCCACAGAAATAACTGTTCCAAATTGAGGACTATCCCAGAAAACAGTTTTTAATGCTGAAAGAAGCATTAGAATTAATGAAACAGTTGGATGGTTATGATGTTCAACAACCCTCGTCAGATGATGATGATCTAGACGAAGTAGGTTTAGTAGTGATTCTCCGGAAGCCAGGCATTGTGACCGATAAGGAATGCATTCACGATGATGTGTTAGGCGATAATTTGCCAATGCCGAAAGATGTATGAGGTGAGTATCGAGATTTTGTCATCTAAGAAATGTAAACATTTAGCAAATTCATCAAAAAAAGATAAAAAATTCAAAATCATCTACAAAAAAGGAAAAGAAATTGCCTGAAAAAATTATACTCCTGTACAGGCAGTGATGCCTATTGACAAAGAATCCATTAGCATGAGCAGCAATGACACGTTCTACATGTACAAATATCAAGTAGAAACTGCATTTAGTTGATAGAAATGTATAGGATGAAATCGAAAAACTATCTATAGTTTATCTCTATTTAAATACGTGGTAATTTCGTGTATTATGAGATTTTCTTCAACACAGCTTTCAATAGATGAGCAAATGATGCCTTACTCTGGTAGACATGGTACCTCACTCTGGTAGAATGTTTCTCAAAGAAGAACCCGTTTGTTTCGCGTACAAAGCATGGTGTTTTGTGTTCCTATGAAAAGTACTTATACAATTTTGTTATATATTCAGGAAAATCTTCAAAGACAGTGACTGATCTTGGATTAGGGGGAGATGTAACTGATCTTTTAAATGTGGTAAATGTTTCTTCAAATCATTACGTATATTTCGACAACTTTTTGCGTCACACATGTTATTGTCGCAATTGAATGAAATGAAATTTCATGTGTCTAAGGTAATTCTTGAATAAACATTAGGAGGTCTTATTGTAGCTGGAAACAGAATGAGAAAAGAAGATTGTGAAGCATAGGATACGTCATTAAGTAAACAGCATGGCATTGTAGTAATTAGATGGAATGACAGTTCTATCATAGGTATGGTAATTAACTTTGTTAAAATTTATCCACCTGCAGTAAACAAGGGGTACTAAAGAAACGAAAGCTGATCGGTATCCGTAAAACAACCTAAACTCATTGGAATTTACCACGAACATATGGATGGCGTGAACTTCTGCACGATTTTATTGCGATGCATAGAGACTGCAAGTAAAAAGAAATACTTGCTGTCTATTTTTACGAATTTTATTGATGTAGCTAAATCAAATTCATCGAAACTTTAGAAGTTCTATTGACCCTAAAATTTCCTTGTTAGGTTTTCAAAGAAATATTCAGCTGGCATTACTGAAAACAATGGAAGAAAATTCTGAAAATTCGCAACCTTTATCTAAATATATTGATTCTGTTACTCACCATCTATCCTTCAGAATTTAGCC